TGCTCCCTCTTCTTCCTCCCCTTCCAGCAGCAACAACAGCAGCACCACCGCCACCAACAGCAGCAACAGCAACAGCAGCAGCAGCAGCAGCAGCAGCAGCAGCAGGGACGATACGAGTGAAACAACAACAGCAGCAACAATAAAAGGGATAAATAAAACCATCGCCGGCGGCTCTGCTGCTAATCCAGCTGTAAATGAATTGATTACAGTACAAGAACTAGCCAGCTCGCAGCAAGTAAGATATATTATTTTTTGTTTTTTTTTCTTTTTTTTTTTCTTTTTTGTTTGTTGTTTCTTTATTCTTTTGTCTCTTCTTTTGTCTCTTCTTTGCTTTTTTTTCTTTTTTTTTTCTCTTTTTTTTCTTTTTTTTTTCTCTTTTTTTCTGTCTCTTTATGTTTTATATTTGTTTTATAATGAGTTAATAAAGAGACAAGAACTAGCGAGTACACAGCAGGTATGAAGATAAACGTTTTTGTTTTTTTTTTTGTTTTTTCTTTTTTTTCTCTTCTTTCTTTGTTTCTTTATTCTTTTTTCTCTATTTATTTATTTATTTATATTTATATATTTATTTATTTATTTATTTATTTATATTTATTTATTTATTTATTTATTTATTTATTTATTTATTTATTTGTGTTTAGGATTTAGGGTGTTCCACACCCCCTCCAAACCTCTATGCCCATATATCCTCTTTTCTTCATTTTTTTTAATTTTTTTATTTTTTTATTTTTTTATTTTCTTTTTTTTTCTTTTTTTCTTTTTTTCTTTTTTTCTTTTTTTCTTTTTTTCTCTTTTTTCTTTTTTTTTCTTTTTTTTTCTTTTTTTCTTTTTTTCTTTTTTCCTTTTTTTTCTTTTTTTTCTTTTTTTTTTCTGTTTTTTTGTTTTTTCTTTTTTTTATATTTTTTTAATTTTTTTATCTTTTTTGTTTCTTTTTTTTCCGTTTCTCTATCCACTTCCACACATAAATAAACAAATAAATAAACAAATAAAAATAAATAAACAAATAAAAATAAATAAAAATAAATAAATAAATTTATTTATAAAAATAATTTGTGTTGTGTAGGATTTGGGGGAGTTATCTCGTTTATAAATAAATAAATAAATAAATAAACAAATAAAAATAAACAAACAAATAAAAATAAATAAATAAATAAATAAAAATAAACAAACAAATAAAAATAAACAAATAAATAAAAAAAAATAAATAAATATAATTTGTGTTTTTTAGGATTTGGGAGAGTTATCTCGTTTATTTAAGGAGTAAATAAATAAATAAATAAAAATAAATAAACAAATAAAAAAAAAATAAATATAATTTGTGTTTTTTAGGATTTGGGGGAGTTATCTCGTTTATTTAAGGAGTTAGGAATGACGTTTTATTTAGAGCAGAGCCGAGACCTCACCATTCTTATGCCGGTAGATAAAGCATTTAACTCTCTCTTCTTTTCTCCTTCTCCTTCTGTCTCCTCTTCTTCTGTCTCCTCTTCTCCTTCTGTCTCCTCTTCTTCTGTCTCTTCTTTATCTCCTTCTGTCTCTTCTCCTGATTCTTCTTCTTCTTCTTCTCCTTCTGATTCTTCTTTTTTATCTGATTCTTCTTCTTCTTCACCAACACCAGCAGCAGGAGAACCAGCAGCAGCAGCAGCAGGAGCAGCAGCAGCAGCAGCAGGAGCAGCAGCAGCAGGAGCAGCAGGAGCAGCAGCAGCAGGAGAAGCTAGAAAGATAGAGATTCATTCTCTATCCTGGCAGGCAAAATGGAGGATAATACAACACCATATAATCCCCAACAATATAATCGATATAAAACAAAAATTAAAAAATAAAAATAAAATTATTTTACAAACGTGGGAGGGCTCAGATCTTACCATAACAAAAATAAAAAAAAATAAAAATATAAATAAAAATATAAATAAAAATAAAAATATAAATACACAACAAGAAGAACAACAAAACAATCATATACATAAGGACCCTCCTGCTGCT